GATATTCGATCTGGCGTGCAACTAGGTTGTACCTTGCCGTCTATTCTGTCCAAATAACCATTGATTAGATTATAGGGAAAACCCTACATGAAGCTGATAGCGGTTACTTTTAACCCAGACGGCAGCTGACTGATCTCAATTACGATGATGATCTCGTCTCGTCAGCCTCTAACTTTAATGAACTAACATATGGTGCTACAGGTAAATAGGATCGCCAAATCGGTCTATTTATCCATAAACACTGGGAAAACCAATTTTTTTCGAAGTTCATCTCTGACCAGGAGAAAGCACCCCTTGAGATAAATAGCTATTAACCTTTAAGAAGTATACAGTTTCATACACCCTGAGGCGAGGCTGCTGCCGAATGGACAGAGCATGGATGACATTGTCATTTGAATCGAGAATTCTCGCCAGATTTTCTCACGCCTTAAAAATCGACTATGGGCTTGACGCGATATCCCCATCGTCACGAAAATTCGCGTGCCCCATGCATCCGTCCGGCCAGTTCTTCTACGCCTTTGTAAAGTGTGAACTCTGCGCGCGGAATATGCACAACAACTTGAGGTATTTGACTACTGCCGCTTGAGGATGTTTTTTCGAGTAAAATACACCCAAATTGGTCTCAAATGAGACAGGCTGCAATGTCTGCAACAACGCCGCAAGGATATTCCATGCCCTCCAAGGAAGACGGTTGATTAAGTTTGGGCACGCCATTTGACGCTCACCTTAAAAGATCAATGTCATTTAGGGCTCTTTTGCCTCTATTCAACCAATTATAACTCTGATCACCAGCTGGGACCGAAAACACGAACATGCGCACACACACACACACACACATGGCGCAGATGGTCCACCACTGGGGTTTACCAGATGGGTGATAAACACAAACGAAATCTGCATCGATGACACAGAGGTCACAAACCGGCGAGCACCTGCTAAGCCGAGTTCGGTCAAGCTGTGATAGCAGAGGCTAGTAGTAGAGTAGATTGACGCAAAACTGACGTAACACAGAATGTCGTGGCATTGATGGACGTCGATTAGGTAAAGCGCTTATAATCCGTTTACAGACCATCAGTGTGGTGTGTGTGT